TTCTGGGCGCCCGGGGGCAGCTGGGCCCAGACCTCCGTGTTGGACCGAGACCTGGCGAGACCCGGCATGAAGGAAGCCAACCTCCGCCAGCTCCTGGGCAAGCGCCTCCTCCTCAGGGGCAGGGGCCGTGAGGGCTGCGAGTCCTTCGTCCACCTCAGTGTCCAGCAGTTCTTTGCCGCCATGTTCTGTGTCCTGGAGGACGGCCCCAGGGGCCGCAGCGGGGAGGTGCGGAGGCTGCTGTCCAAGCAAGAAAGACTCGACCACCGCAGCCTGGCCCCGGTGGGCCCGGTCCTACTCGGCCTTGCCCACGGAGGGCCGGCCGCGGCGCTGGAGGCCACTCCTGGCTGCCGGGTGTCCCCAGGCATCGCGCAGGACGGGCCAGGGCCCCGCGGGGAGAGGCCCTCCTCCGTGCGGGACTGGGAGGCGGCTTCTCCCCGGCTTCACGCGGCTCAGGGGGGGCAGCTCACCGAGGCGGCCGCGGCCCAGGCCCAGCGTGTGGCCGTGCACCTGGCCAGCGCGGCCGAAATGGCTCGGTCTTCCTCCTGCCTCAGGCGCTGCGCGCACCTGCGGGAGCTGTCCCTGCAGGTGGCCGAGGGGCTGTTCCTGGAGGACGCCGCCCGCGCAGCGGCCCCCTGGGCCCAGAGGTGAGAGGCTCCGGCGCCCCGCTGCGCCTGCGCGTCCCGAGGGAGCTGCTTTCCTGCAGGGGGACTTCCTGTGGCTGGAGCTGCTCTGGCCAGCTCAGGGGGTGCCGGGGAGGGGGCCTGGAGCCCCCTTGGTTTGGGGCTGCAGCTGTGCCGGCGCCACGGCCTTCCCGAGACACTCTCACCTCTTGGAGTATTCTCTCTCCCCGCCAGTTTCCTTTTCGTCTTTCGGCGGCAGCCACTGAGCACGCCTCGGGCTTTCTTTGCGTTTGTGCTTGTGGCCCCTGCGGCTCAGCTTGGCCACGCCCTGCCCTGGCTGTTCGGGCGAGTCTGGTGGGCTCGGCCGTTCCCAGCCCTCCCAGCAGGGCTGTGCGCGTCAGCTGTCTGACTCGCCTCCGGGGCCCTGACAGGCTGCCGGCCGTGCGCTCCCCTCCCGGGCCTCGTGGACACCAGGTGTAGGTGTCCTTTCGAGGGTGGTTTCTGATTCAGAGAAACACCCCGGAGCAGAATGGCGGGGCGACGCGGCGGCTCTACCTTTACTGCGTGGGGAGCCCCCAAACCAGTCTCATAGAGGCCGCAGCCGTGACTGTGCCTGCCGGCCGGGCCGCTTCTGCCCACCTCCTCGCCCATCCTTGCTCTTGTCCTCTTGACAACGCACGCAGCCACGTGCGAAGCCACCGCTCACGTGGTTTCCAGCTGCGCTTCCCTGGCACCAGGGACACCGAGCACCCTCCCCTGTGGGGACGTGCTGTCTTCAGAAAACGTGGACGAGCCCCACCCATTTCTCAGTTGACGCTTTCCTGTGGGTCGGCCGGTGCGTCAGGTACCCGGTGCAGGTCCATGTCAGACGCGCCCGCAGGCCCGCTCCCACCTGCGAGGTGCCTCTCGGCGTGGCCGCCGGCTCCTGGCCGAGCAGGAGCCGAGTCTGGTCTCCCCACGGCGCCCCGTCTGCCTTCCTCCTAGGTCCCGGCGAGACCAGCACGTACTGCGCCTCTGGACGGACTTCTGCTCCGTGCTCAGTTCCAGCCAGAGCCTGAGCTCCCTGCAGCTGGGCCGCGGCTTCCTCAGTCGCTCCTCCGTGCGGATCCTGTGTGAGCGGATCACGCGCGCCACCTGTCGCCTCCAGAGACTGGTGTAAGTGGGAGCCGCCTCGGCGCGGCAGCCCTGCCGGGCGCCATGCCAGCGCCTGCCCCGGGGCTGACCAGCCGCGCTCGCAATGCAGAGAGACGAGAAGGCGCCGGCCCGCCGGCGTCTGTGGGAGAAGCACACGATAGAGCGAGAAATCGGACCAAGAGGCCGATGCTGCCACACAGGCCCGACCTGGGCGGCCTCTAGGAGGGCGGAGGCACAGCTGTGTCGGCGGGGGGCGGGGGGCAGCGGGCGCGGTCAGGGCCCCGGGAGCACGGCAGACGCGTGCTTTGTGCTGGGGACGGTGGAGACGGGCCCACGGGGCCGTCGCCGCCATGCAAGTCAAATGGGCCCCGGGCCGGAGACGCCAGGACGCCCCTCAGACTAACGAGCTTCCAGGGATAAACGCCGCGTGCTCCACGGGGGATCACGGACCGCCCCAGCCGCGCGCCTGGGGACGCCAGCTTGGCTCGGAAATGGAAAGCTATGGCCGTGCTGGCCGCGTTCCGACCCTCACTCCCATCACTCTCTCACCAGCTCTCGTAAGCTCTCAGCTGAGCGAGCGCACGGGCAGGCAGAGGGGGAGGGCGAGGTGAGCGGGGCTCTGAAGAGCTGGGCCTGTCTTCCAGCTCTCCGCTGCAAATCTGCTTTCAGCCTCGTCTTTGGACGAGCAACAGGGAACGCCCAGGGTCGGCGGGCGACCGCCGGGCTGGGGGACACTAAGTCAAAGCAGGCTAAGACCTCTGGAAACGTAGGCGCGGATAAAGATGTGGGACAAGAGCACAGCAGAGGTGTTACTGGAACATTCCGCTGAGTTTTCAGCTCTCCCTAGCTATGGGGAGGAGGCGAAAACGCACAGGCTGGAGAGGTGAGCAGGAGAGAAACTGCTACTGGAGCGCAGCGGTCCAGCGGAGAACAGCGGAGCGTCACCTGGCTGCCCCCGGCAGCTCCGTAGTCTCCAGAAAGGGGACGAGAAACTCAGGAGGAACCATCAGAGCGAGAGACCTTGCTACCTGAACACTAAGGGGTTTCGCAGGGCTGGTCCTATGCGCCGGAAAGCGGAACTGGCCGGCCGCCACGGGGCCACGCGGCTGCCACAGCGGTGGCTCGGGTCTGGC